TGGTTTTATAATGGCTGTTAAATTTCACTTCTTACTTGTACTTTCGTCTTGAACATTCAATTTGCCTCTGGCCATTGCCTAGTGCCATAAAACTGTTTATGGTTTCATATAAAACATGTAACTAATCTACAGTCTTATTTTGTAAGTTAAACCCCTTTGTTATGGATATTTTATCTTTCAATTGACAAAACTACAAGCATTGTTGTTTGCATTAATTTTTTATCACTACGTAGGCCTACTTGGTTTCAAATTATGTCATTGCATTTTCTGTATCTTTGTACTACATTGTTGGCGTTCAGGTTTCAATTTTTTTTTATTTCCCATATTTATTTATTGTGTTGTATGCTTTAAGCAATCTAAATCTTATGAACTAGACTGATGATATTGTAGTGACTTTGCTGATATTATAACCTCATTGTTTGTTACTCAGTTTATATAGGCCCTCCTAAATAATTAGGCCTAGGCCTGGGTATTTTGCTTCTTTGAAAGAGCTGTAAAATATACTAAGAAAATGTAATTGATTCTAAGATTAACTATAATGATTGCTATGTGTCGATATTAACTTTGCAGATGAGAAGACAATAATCTTACTCTGTGCTTACTGGTAGCCGCTTACCATACCGATTTTGTACCTAGAACCGAGTTACAATATATTCATTATGCATTACAGATTTTTTTTTCAAAAGTAGTCGAGAACCTAACGTTGTGCCAGGGCGAATAATGCCAAATTAATCCGCCTGGATCGGATAAGCTATGTTATGATGTTTCCGTGACCGATGGAGATATTTAGGATTTTGTCACTATTGCAGGAGACAATGATTGCGTTTTTCTGTTACACTATAAAAGCTGTACCTAAAGTATATGTTTGTTTACTTTCAATAAGTTTCTATTTTGAAATTTAATTCTTGTCTATTATTATTTACTTTTCTCTCTGGAACAACTACAATGAAGAACAAGATAAATACAGTTTGACAAATCAGGAATATTATTCTGTTATCACACCGACTAAAGTCCTTAAAGGTACGGGAATTGTCCATGAATTTTTTATCCAGAATGTAGTAGACACCCTGAAGGCATTACATAAAGTTTCGTCATTATAACTAACATTGTTTGAAGACCTTGAAATTTATAAAAGGAGACTGTGAGAACCGTGAAAACAACGTGAAATAGTGGGAACCCTGTTATTGTATACAAATATTTCAATTCCGTGTGTGTCATAGTAAAGTCTCACACGTTCTACAGTTAAGCCTGTTCTTCCTATTAAAAACCAAATCAAGTCTATAAAACATTTAGGCCTAGTTTGCTTGGTTTTTATACTTGGTGAATTTTACACTAATTGTGCAGGTTAATTTGTGCATTTGTTTTTATACCTTCCCCATTTTTTAAAATGTTTCCTGGTATGTATATCTATTTATCAACCTCAACTACTTAGTAACCTAATTTGAACATTGGCTACAAGCTGACCTCATTCATACATTTTAACATTCATAAGTGCCCATCAGCAAAAACTGCTTTGAAATTTTAACAAGATCTCACTTATTCAAACAACTGTGACTTAGACAATTTAAAATATAGAGATACATGATTAGTTTTTTATGAAAATATGGAGGCAATAGTATCCTATTTTCTGTTATGAACTGATCACGTTCATATCTAACAGTCAAGCCGTTGCCAGCATAAATTTTACCTAATTTTCAGCTAGAATGTTTTTAGTTATGTTGTGACTCTCAGTGATGAAATTTAAACTTTAAGGAAGACAATTTAACACCTAGCTTTAACTAATCACTATGAATTTATTTAAAGTAGACCTAATAGAATGTAATCCAAGTTCTTTATCAAAAGAGTCCTCAGGTAATAACTTTAAATATGCTCATTATGATGAATAATTATTTTTCTGACACCTCTTATCTGAGTGCAATTTTGTACATTGAATGTATTTACTCATACTGATGTGAGCATATTTTTTTAAATTTGTGAGGAAAATAAATTTACATTTAAAAATAAACATCTTCCTACATTCAAGATTTTATCAAAAAGTAAGTCATGTTTTCAAAACTTCAAATGTTTTAGTGTTTGTTTTTAGAATGTAAAAGTAGTGTACGGTAACTAATAGCTTTCGGGTAATACTTTAAAGCTTACTTTGTAAATTTATTTGTCAGAGTTAAGAGTACACCTAAAACCATTTTTGTATCACTTCCTATTTAAAATCCTCTTTCAAAGGCGAATTAGTCTAAAATGGATTCTTTCGTAACTAAAAGAGGTACATTGAATTGGCAATGCTAACTCTGTAGTTAATACAGCAGAGTATTCATTTGCCATACATTTTCTCTTAAAAGATTGAGATAAAGTTGAACATTTTATTGCCTCAAGGATTAATTCTCCCATTAAAAATATCACATTAGTTGTTTAGAATTGATCCTATTAGCCTTTAGGGGTAGACAAGGACATTTTTGATAGTTCTGTGTGCATTAACCATTGTTTTGACAAATCCATTGTTTGATTGTTCAATTACTCTTAAACAATTATGTTTCATTTTGGCCCTGTAGTCCCTGTACTGTATTTAACTGGATAAAATTGTTAAACTAAATTTGACATACAGAGGTTCCTTGTTTGGGATCATATGTTCAGAGTTCATTTTCATATATGTAACACAATACTTTATCAAGGGAAATTGGAACACATCCTTGGTAAATAACTGCTTACAATGATGATACAATTATTTCTGACACCTCTTATGAGTGCTAAAAGGCACAATGATTTTTAGCCATGCTAATTCTGATGTAAGCTTGTAAATTAAATAATTCCATACAGCATTCCATACACCTATCTGTGCCTTGTACACAACATGTTGTGATTAATTGACTACACAAATAATAAAATAACTTGTAGGTTTCTTGTTAAGGTTGTTCAAAGGTTTAACTCACCTTGTTAAGATTTACTTTTTGTTAAAATTTTACCTTCATACACAACACTGTTGGGAGGATTGTTAACAGAACAATATTTTTGTTGACCATGTTAATAATTATCTGTGGGTGAAATTATACTGTACAGAGTTTGCAACACAGCAGCATTTAAAATGCTTACAATGATGATACAATTATTTCTGACACCTCTTATGAGTGCTAAAAGGCACAATGATCTTTAGCCATGTTAATTCTGATGTAAGCTTGCCAACTAATTCCATGAAGCATATTAGTACCTAACTGGGTTGTACAGACCTACGTTGTGATTATTGACTACAAAAATAATTAAATACCCCTAAAAATAACTCTAGGTTTTTTGTTGTTATTTGCATTTTGTTCCAACCCTACAAATTTGCAATCTTTGACAGAACAATATTTCTTATCAACAAATTAAATAATTTTCTGTGGCACAACAATGTTTAAAAGGCTTACAATGATGACACAATTACTTCTGACACCTCTTATGAGTGCTTAAGGCACAATGATGTTCAGCCATGCTAATTCTGATGTAAGCTTGAAAACTAACTCCTAGTAACTTACATAAACTGTGCATTATACTGTGTTGAGAAAAAACCCAATTAGATAAACTAGGTGGTTCACTGCAATGGGAAGAAATATAATGGGACCTAAGTCAAACTCTACGATTAATTTAGTGTTAAACAACAGCTAATAAGCTCACCGATAAAGTATACTTAAGACTAAATTTATGAAGTAGGCATTTTACATCCAGTAACACTTGGAAGACTTGTAATTATAATATACAGTAACTATTTCCGACATCTCATATGAGTGCTTAAAGCACAGTGATTCATCCTAATTCTGATAAGAGTGGTTAAGAGAGAGAGAAAGAGAGATCTGTACTACACACGAACACTTACTGCGTGAATGGAAGGAGGGGAGTTTAAATGAAAAATTCTATAAAACAGTCTGTTGTAGATATTTAAAACCATTGCTTACAATGATGAGATAACTATTTCTGACACCTCTTGTGTGAGTGTTTATGCACAGTGATCTTTAGCTATGCTAATTCTGACGTAAGCTCGTAAATCAACTCCAGACCCAACATTTTTCAAAGTTAAACGATTTGTTGCTTAACTACTGTATTTAATTCAAGAGTTGGATAATTTTCCCTCCTTTTATCATAGACTAAGGATGTAACATAGAGCACAAGTGTATAGGTTTTTAGGATTTAACCTAATGGGAAAGAGTCCAAACTGGCCCAAGAGACACTAAACATTACACTCTATACACAAAACATTGGAATATTTCACTGTCGGTGTCAGTGAAATATTCTAACGTGTTGTTTATCATAGTCTAGATTACATTTTTAGCATTTATTCATTTTTTATTAATAGTTTTGAATGTATGCATACTTCCACAAATCATCCAAAATCCCTTCCTTATTTCTGTTGTTCACTTTTGTAGAGTGGTTGTTGGTGGTCTCTAGTTAAAAACTAAAAAAGAATAAACAGTAGTTTACAAATTGCTTCTTCTATAGCTTATCTGCATGGCATGTGTACCACAATGATGAAAATCCATACTGATATACTAACATGGTGATGGGATAAAGGATTTTCTGAGTGGGTGTTGGGGCTTTGTGGTGGTATTTAAGCTCGATTAGATTTTAAAAACTATTATTTAATTACAATATTTCATCTCAAGGATTGATGCCATGCTACAATAATTTTGTTACCAACGGTTATTGTCAATCTGATGTTTATTATTTCAGCTTACTAGGTAAGTTTTAGTTATAAGCTTCATTCATTGCGTCCACAGATCTGATAATCAAAATTTCTTAATAAATCAGTATTTGTTTAAATTTCATCTGACTCCGAAACTAGTCTATCTGTAATAATAAAAACGTGGGTTGACATCAACAAGGCCTGTGTTCTGTTTAGTCATGTTTTCAATTCTCTACAAAGTAGTTTAAAATCACAAAAGAACACAAGAACTAAACCAGTCATCATTTATCCATTCGATGACATTAACTGGTAACAGTGTGAAATCAGCAAGCTAATATTTATGGCTTATCCGTAGCACTTTCAACATGGACGACTTCAAGAGGTGTTACTCCAATGAAGACGAAGCTAAATCCATCCCCTACTTCTGGGAGAAGTTTGACAAGGACAACTACTCCATCTGGTACGGAGAGTACAAGTACCCCGAAGAGCTCAAGAAGGTCTACATGAGCTGTAACTTAATTACAGGTATGAACGACATTACAATATATCCTAATGAGACCAATGAGGGGGCTGGCCACAAATTATGCATTTTAAGGGGTAGCGGATTTTTATCCCCCTGGGATTTTACCCCCTGGGTAAACGTGACGTCACAAACCAGGGGTAAAATTCCAGCCGCAAACTTTTGAGTTTCGCGACATCAGCTCAATGGATTAGACGCGGAATTCAACATATATTTTCATGGTTGTGAATTTAATCAGAACACGTCAAATTATAAAAACCTAGAGTGTACGGCCCGGATTTTTACCCCCGGAATTTTACCCCCTGGCCAGATATATAAATTAGTGGGAATGATTAATTATCTTCATTCTGTTTTAATATAATAGTAATCATTTTATTATTAAGTAGCCTATATTAATTTATTTGTAACATTAACTAATCAAACAGGTTTTTCATTTTAATTTTGAGATTCTAGTATTAGGATTCGATCTTTGAAGCCAACGGTTGGTTAATATTAGTGATGGGCGGATCCAAGAAAATGTCGGTACCAGATCCGGATCCAGATACACACTGTCATAAGGGCGGGTTAAAAAAAAACGTAATTAACAGAATGCCAATTTAAATCATACTTTTATTATTTTTTATCACGAAGCATCGGGTGAGATTAAAATACTAACGGGATATTTTAGAGACGAAATTATAGGCCGTTAGCTTATCATCCAGGTATAAAACTAAAAACTAGAGGTGTGAAGATATCCGAAAAATCGGGTCGGATTCAGTTCGGAAAGATACATGCCATTGCCATATATGTTATTTATCAAGAGACAAACACTGACACATGGCCTTGCCATATAAGTTATTTGCACAAAGAGACAAACACTAAGACATGACCTTGCCATATAAGTTATTTGAATTAAGAGACAAACACTTGAGACATAGTCTTGCCATATAAGTTATTTGCATCATAAGACAAACACTGAGTCATAACCTTGCCATTATAAGTTATTTGCATCAAGAGACAAATACTGAGTCATGGCCTTGCCATGTAAGTTATTTGCATCAAAAGAATAACACTGAGTCATAGCCTTGCCTTATAAGTTATTTGCATCAAAAGACAAACACTGAGACATGGCCTTGCCATATAAGTTATTTGCATCAAGAGACAAACACTGAGACATGGCCTTGCCATATAAGTTATTTGCATCAAGAGACAAACACTGAGACATGGCCTTGCCATATAAGTTATTTGCATCAAGAGACAAACACTGAGACATGGCCTTGCCATATAAGTTATTTGCATCAAGAGGCAAACGCTGAGACATGGCCTTGCCAAGTTATTTGCATCAAGAGGCAAACACTGAGACATAGCCTTGCCATACAAGTTATTTGCATCTAGATACAAACATCGAGACATGGCCTTACCAAATAAGTTTTTTGCATCAAGAGACAAACACTCGGGGAAAAACGGTCTTGTACATGGATACAGACAGCTTTGTGTTAGTAAAAAAATCAGGAAAAATCGGGGTTGTACAGTGATACAGACAGATTTGTGTTGGTAAAAAATCGGGGTGTTGTAGAGTGATACATACAGCTTTTTGTGTTAGTAAAAAATCGGTGTTGTAGAGTGATACAGACAGCTTTGTGCTAGTAAACAAATCGGTGTTGTACAGTGATACAGATAGCTTTGTGTTGGTAAAAAAATCGGGGTTGTACAGTGATACAGACAGCTTTGTGTTTAGTAAACAAATCGGGGTTGTACAGTGATACAGACAGCTTTGTGCTAGTTAAAAACATTCGGGGTTGTACGGTGATACAGACAGCTTTGTGTTAGTAAAAACATTCGGGGTTGTAGAGTGATACAGACAGCTTTGTGCTAGTAAAAACATTCGGGGTTGTAGAGTGATACAGACAGCTTTGTGCTAGTAAAAACATTCGGGGTTGTAGAGTGATACAGACAGCTTTGTGCTAGTAAAAACATTCGGGGTTGCACAGTGATACAGACAGCTTTTTGTCTTAGTAAAATCGGGGTTGTACAGTGATACAGACAGCTTTGTGTTAGTTAAAAAAAATGGTGTTGTACAGTGATACAGACAGCTTTATGTTTAGTAAACAAATCGGGGTTGTACAGTGATACAGACAGCTTTGTGCTAGTAAAAACATTCGGGGTTGTAGAGTGATACAGACAGCTTTGTGTCTTAGTAAAAAAATCGGGGTTGTACAGTGATACAGACAGCTTTGTGTTAGTTCAAAAATCGGTGTTGTACAGTGATACAGACAGCTTTTTGTGTTAGTAAAAAACTCATGGTTGCACAGTGATACAGACAGCTTTTTGTCTTAGTAAAAAATCGGGGTTGTACAGTGATACAGACAGCTTTGTGTTAGTTAAAAAATCGGTGTTGTACAGTGATACAGACAGCTTTTTGTGTTAGTAAAAAATCGGTGTTGTACAGTGATACAGACAGCTTTGTGTTAGTAAAAAAATCGGTGTTGTACAGTGATACAGACAGCTTTATGTTTAGTAAACAAATCGGGGTTGTACAGTGATACAGACAGCTTTGTGCTAGTAAAAACATTCGGGGTTGTACGGTGATACAGACAGCTTTGTGTTAGTAAAAAAATCGGTGTTGTACAGTGATACAGACAGCTTTGTGTTGGTAAAAAAATCGGGGTTGTACAGTGATACATACAGCTTTGTGCTAGTAAAAACATTCGGGGTTGCACAGTGATACAGACAGCTTTTTGTCTTAGTAAAATCGGGGTTGTACAGTGATACAGATAGCTTTGTGTTAGTTAAAAAAATCGGTGTTGTACAGTGATACAGACAGCTTTGTGTCTTAGTAAAAAAATCGGGGTTGTACAGTGATACAGACAGCTTTGTGTTAGTTCAAAAATCGGTGTTGTACAGTGATACAGACAGCTTTTTGTGTTAGTAAAAACTCATGGTTGCACAGTGATACAGACAGCTTTTTGTCTTAGTAAAAAATCGGGGTTGTACAGTGATACAGACAGCTTTGTGTTAGTTAAAAAATCGGTGTTGTACAGTGATACAGACAGCTTTTTGTGTTAGTAAAAAATCGGTGTTGTACAGTGATACAGACAGCTTTGTGTTTGTAAAAAAATCGGTGTTGTACAGTGATACAGACAGCTTTATGTTTAGTAAACAAATCGGGGTTGTACAGTGATACAGACAGCTTTGTGCTAGTAAAAACATTCGGGGTTGTAGAGTGATACAGACAGCTTTGTGTTAGTAAAAAAATCGGTGTTGTACAGTGATACAGACAGCTTTGTGTTGGTGAAAAAATCGGGGTTGTACAGTGATACAGACAGCTTTTGAAAAAATTTGAAAAAATCGGATCCATCAAAACCGGATCCAGCCCAAGAACCGGAATTTTTTGGATCCGATCCGGTGCCGGTTCTAGCTCGGATCAGTCCGATATCCGGATCCGACCGTCACTAGTTAATATTATGACGTATAAACAATCAACTGAATGATAATTGTTTCAAACATTTCTTTACAAAACAAATAAATAAAGATAGGCTACTAAATAATGAAATGTTTTTTCATTAGACTTCCAAATCCGTGGGGGTAAAATTCCGGCCGCGAACTAACTTTTGGCCACTCAGGTTACTACGTCATAGTGACGTCAGCTTTGCCCAGGGGGTAAAATTCCAGGGGGATAAAATTCCGGCCACCCCTATTTAATAGTGTTCAAAGCTTGTTTCCGAGGCCAAAACTAATAATGCACTTACCCTTTTACCTTAAAATCCATTTATAAAAAAATTTTGTCTGTTAACAATCTGTCAGGTAATACAACTTATAAAGGTTATCAGCTTTCAAATAACAATTCTCATTTAAAACTGCAATAAAGAGAGTTTGACTGTTATAAAGAAAGTGGCTCAACAGTACTGGACCTCTAAAAAGTGTCTTCAACCTAATAAAGTAAACGGTATCAGACACATACTTTCTCTCATTAGCTTGTCAACAACCTTTATCATGGGTTGGCAGTGGGAGTTGATCTATGATATTTTATAGGAAAAATCACAAAAGTCACAATAACTTTTAAACTGTAAATTTTACAGCAATAGTGGTTTGCACTAACTGTTTAGAACTATAAGGACCATAACCATTGACTATATAACACTACTAGATTGAAAACCCCATGCATTTGGTTGTGAACAAGCAATCAGCACACTCTGGCGGGAAGGGGCGATCATAGCGCTGACGTCACTGACCAGTAGGTGCTGCCACGATGTGGCGGGCAATGAAAACATAGTGCTGTCTGCTGTTACAACGCAATGAACAGACAGCCGACAGCTGAGCCATGCTACCCGCGCCCACGTGACTTGCCGGAACTGCACATCCGCTCCCCGCTCGCCTCGAATTCGTGTTGTTAGAATTGAAGCGCGACTGATCATTAATTTAACTGCTTCGCTAAGAATCTGAGATATTAGACAGGGACTCGTATCCTAATATTTATCGTGATATTTTAGTGGTTAGTGAATTTGATTGATAAAAAAGATGTCCTGTAGATATGTATGAATTTCCTATCTAATCACATTTAAAACGCCGATGAGAATAACTTAAATACAAATTTGCGTAATCAAACGCGTCATGTTGTAAATGTTTTGTTGTAAGAATTTATAATAAATATTTAATTGGAATTGAGAAATTGTGATATTTTATCAATAAATAAATAAATTGATTTATCCACATATCACAATTAAATTTTAATCTAGTAAGTATAGTAGGATACATCCACCTAACACTTTGAAACTAGTGAACGAGCTTAAAATAACGACCACACAAAACGCCCAAAGCAAATAAAAACTGCAAAATGTGCTCAGAGAAAAAGAGAAAGTGAAATGACAGAACATGGGGGGTGGCAGAGCGTTCGTTCGGTTCGGGTAAGGGCATTGCCTTCACACAATACCCGACAACCCCTAGGCTACACTATGATTTACAACATCTGTCTGCTATAGGGAAAAAGGCACCAGTTGATGTGTCAGTAATAAAGGGTGCGCCAAAA